AATAGAAGATAATATTATAAATATAACTGAAAAAAAATGCAATAACAAAGTTTTTTTTATGGAAAAGTATAAAAAACAGTTCCTTTGCGTTAGAAGCACCTAAATATATATATTTTCAAAAAGTTAAAAGACCATCTCCGGGAGGGGGCAACCAACCATATCTTTTTATTATTAAATGATAAAATCAATTTCACCCTTTGAATTTCAGTAGGCAGGTTGGTAGGGCATTGTTTTACAACAATTTAACCAATATAGTTGAGAAAATATGGTAATTGAAAAATCTTGCCATTTTAGTTGTGAACATGAAAAGTTAAAAATGTTTGCATTTCAAATTAGTTAGATGTGATTGTATTATTTGCTGTTAATTTTAGAATACAAAGTGCTAAAAATTTACGAACTGTCTCAATGGTCTTTAAAGTTAGGCGTTTCTTACCTAATGGTCCTGAAAGTTAGACGCTTTAGCAAATCGACAATATATTTATAGACACATTTGAGTTTTTTAATGTAACAATATAACTTTTCAATGTATTGCTGATAATAGGAGCTAATCAGTAAACTAACATGTAAGGCCCTGTCAAAGAAAAATACTTCAGCTAACCTCATTCAGCCATTTTTAACATTCTTTTTAATTTTCGGTGTCCCACAGGCCATTGGCTGAAATATAATGAACTGACTCATAGTTTGTTCAATTGGTGGTTTATATCTTTCCAAGTTTTTGGCAATTTTCATTTTTTTAATTTAGGGGCGTTAGTGACAGTTATTGATGATGATCTGAAATGGTCTGTACTGGTGGTCACTGAAGTGATGAAGGAATCAACTAAGAAAATCTTCTTCTGAAATCGTGTTTGTAGACACTACCTCATCTTGTAATATCTTACAATCAAATGTTACAAATGTTACAATTGTGTCAACATCAAGTTCCGCATGAAGTATTCTTATTGCTATTCTATTTCATGCTAATAAAACTGAAGAGAATTATGAGCAAGCATTCAAACTTCTTAAATTAGAATGCCCAAATTTTTTTGGAGGATCAGTTATTATAAATTATTATAAGTATATTCTCTATATGCATATATAATGTATAATAATAGGCACTTCAAAATCTGACCGTGTAACATAGATAATAAAAGAGGTTTTATGCCAACTAAATAGTTTAAAGTGTATGTTTTTCCATCGGTCAACTGATGCCTTAGATGCCATTTACCATTAAATTATTTTGAATAAGAAGCGTTGATCACAGCCAAAAAATTAGTTTATTTTCTTGGAAAACCCTTTTGCTTTACCATTGAATAAAATATTTTTAAAAAAGTATGTCACAGATTTATTATATCAAACGTAGGTCGTTTCCTAGTCTTTAAATTTCCAATTACAATAGTTTTTATTAGTACTATATTCTTAGTTTTGAATAATAAGTCTTGTTTATTGTTACTTTTATAAAAGAACGAACGCGATGAAAACTTTAATGAGATTCTTAAAATTATTAAATATTTTACATAAACTATTTTCCAAACTTTAAACATACAACTTAGGTAATCGCTTCAAAATAAAATGCAAGCTGTGAATATTGCTGTGTATAATTAATTAAATATAACCTGTAAATTCACTTCAAAATACAAGTATATTGCGTATACAAATATAACTTTAAAATAAAATACAAGTATATTGCGGTATTATGTATATTGCTATTTAATCAAATATAACCTGGATGATCACTTCAAAATAAAATGCAAGCTGTCTATATTGATAATTAATTAAATATAGCTCCAAAATCCCGGTGGGAAATGAGCTAGCGACTAGCTAGCTTTAGAGCGATTTTCAATCGATTTTTTTTTTCTTATTTTATTCTTTACTTATGTCTTTAACATTTTTAAAAATTTGATTTTTAGTGTTGAGTCTATTAGTGTTGAGAATAAATGAACTTTAAACATTGCGATTTTGTAACAATGTGTCGCTAGCTACATATCGTAGCTTTGTAGCTAGTTACAAAATATCTACAAATCTACAGCCGGTTGGCAGCTACATATCAAAATATTTTAGACGGTGATTTTATTACGGTATGACTTAAGCCAGTGGGTTTTTAGCTTATTAAGCTAGCTGTCTTTATCGTAACAATTGTAGCTAGCTATTTGCTAGCCGATTTCCCACCGGATCACTCCAAAATAAAATGCAAGCTATGTTGCATTTTATTTTGTTAATTAATTAAATAACAACAGCAGCATTTCAATTACTCTTTAAAATATTTTTTGGCTAAAGATTTTCTGAACTTTATTCAAACTCTGATCTACCTATGGGATGAACTTTAAACAAATAAAAAATTTAAACTTAAATGTTCACAAGTGCCGCAATTCTTCATTTAAATAGGATATTCTATTAGCTACATGTTTTGTTTTGTATTTTAACTCTTTGTTGTAGGAGCCCCAAGTTTTTATGCCGGATGACTCAAGTGAAGAAAAAGATGCACTAAGCTCTGTATGGCCTAAAGCAACAATGTTATTATGATCTTTTCATGTATTACAAGCACAATGGCGGTGGTTGCTTAAAAAAGCTGCAAAATCTGATTGTCAAAACTCTACCAAGTGTTTAAAAATGTATTTTTGTTATGCATATTCAAATAGATTTATAACCATTTAGTTATATACTTTTTTTTGAAATAACTGTTATTTAAATGAAATCTTATATGTAATTATCTAGAAGATTGTATTCTAGATTATGTATACAAGCGAAAGCCTTGAGTTGTCGTTGCAGCAATTAAAAAGCATAAAGTTAACGCATCTAAAGTTTTATAAAAGGGTTAAAAAATACTATAACAAGAGAAAATTTGAATTTGCCATGTTATATAGAAAAGACTTAATTATTGGAAACCACAACACAAATAATTTTAGTGAAGCAACAATAAGAATTCTTAAAGATATTGTTTTATGTAGAACAAAAGCATTCAACTTTGCAGCACTTGTAGATTATACAGACAATGTTCGTGACAGATACTATAGCAACCGTCTTCTGAATACTGCATATAATCGTTGCTCTGTTTATGAAATATTCTACAACAAATTGTGTAAAAAATCTGAAAAAATAGACATTAATTTTATGAAATTGTTGGAGAGTAATACTTACGTTATACCTAGTTTTAGAAACTCAAATGTAGAATATACAATCAATAGTGACTTTGGCTATTGTTCATGTTCTAGAGGTCAGCAAGGCAGATTCTGTAAACACATGGTTGCACTACATAAATTTTTTTAAATTAATTTTCCGTGTGCCCCACCAATTACATCAAAAAAAAGATACGAACTTGGAAACTTGGATCGAAGTCCTGAACCAGAAGTTTGAGAATTTGATCAAAGAGAAATTGAAATATCTTCAAATATACTAGGTTTGTAATTGAATTGTAAAGACAAATAAAGTTGTAAGACAAGTAGTAAAGTAGTAAAATCATCAGACACTTTAGCAGCAGTTACTTGTGATGGTACCATGAATAACACAGGTCAACACAATGGAGTAATCAGAAAATTAGAAGAACATTACAATGGTTGGTCTACTTGTAACATGCAAATGAACTACCTTTTAAAAAATATTTCTCCGTTCTGGATGGTGGACGTTCAACAGGTCCAGCTACTTCAACAGGTAAAATAGACATTGAACTACATTTTGATCCAAAAGATTTAGTTATCGTGCGCTTCAAGTATATAGGTATATGTAGTATATGCTTCAAACATATAGGTATATGGCAAAGTTGGGGATGTAAGCGTTGATGTAAGAAAGTATTAAGCTCTGACCAGATATACCTTCTAAAAGGGATACACTGCTTCTAATCAAATATTGTTCCACCAGACTGCTGTGCCAGGAAATATAAATCATGCAAGGTGGTTAACAAAGGCCAATCGTGTTTTATGTTTGTATATGTCTAAGGAAAATCCTTCAAAACCATTGCATAGAATTACAAGATTCATCGTAAATGTTTATGCTCCATCGTGGTTCAACATAAAGCAACATTCTTCCTGTTTTGACGGAGCAAGAAATTTCTTCTATCTTATGAAGCAGTGCTATGAACTAGGAAAGGAAGACTGGAAAATTCTTGAACCAGTTTTTAAAAATAACTGTTATTTTGCTCATTCTGAGAACATTCTTCTGGGAGGAGTTACAGATAAAAATTTAACAGTTCGTCAGTTTTCGTGTCATTAAATAATTGAAGCTCGAGCAAAATCACAAAGTAGCAAGATACGTGTCTTTGATAAATCAAGCATGAAGCTTGACCCAGAAGCTTCGTCATTCTTAAAGATGAGTGACTGGTCTGTTGCTATTACAACACCACCACCACTTTTATCAACTGTTTCGAATGAAGATCTTGAACATTTCCAGTTCGGTGTTGATGTCTTGAGTGGTATTCCATGCCATTCACAGGCAGTTGAACGAACTATTAAAGACATCTCAGCAACAACTATGAAAGTTTTCGGGCACAAATCACGACATGGAATGATTTTGCAGTGTCACAAATCTCGAGCAGAATTACCCAAATGGCTCTAAATCTGACTTTTTGAGCCATAACAAATAGCAAATAAATGAAACAATTTGCTATTATATGTTGCCTACTACACTCTGACAATTTCTCCTTCAACAACTGCCTGTAATTTTATATTTATTGTAACAAGTTGTAGAGTAATGGAATATAGCATTAAAACATGTGTATTTACATTATACGATTATACTGAAATTTAAATTCCAAAGTTGCGGATCCAAGATACGCTTACATTTTATTTCAAAAAGAGTTTTTTTCATAAGTAATGCGCATGCACAGTGCGCATGATACTACTATGAGATCTCACAGTAGTATCATGCGCACTGTGCGCACTTGCTGCTTGAGCGGACTGCTCAGAAATTATATATATTTCGTATTATTCAGATACAGAGACAGGTACCTGCACATATGCTTGATTAGTGAAGCATAAATAAAAAATATATAAATAGTAAATTTAAAACACAGTCAGCCACAAAATGCTAAAGCAAAGCAATGGAAGTAGAAATAAACGAAAGAACTCCGATTTCTTGCCATGGGCCTCTGCACATAAATATTTTAAGGCCAAACGAGCTATTTAAGAGAAAGAAAACTCTGATGGAGAAGGCAGTGTGGCTTCTCGAAAAGAAGTGGGAGAAGATGGAAAATTTACAGGACATGGTATTCAATGCGATGCTCATTCATTCTCACACCAGGTTCTTAGTACAAACATAATCTCCGAAAGTGTTGGAGCAAATGGAGGAGATAATGTCCAAACCGGAGATGGAAAATAATAAGTTACGGCAAAGACATGTCGCTAACGAAATGGATACATCATGTGGAGAAGTGGGACATATCGTCAACTATGATGGAGAACAATATGATCAATTCACTCCAAAACTTCACCAAGATATTGCAACGACGAATAGCTTGCAGGAAACAGTCATACGGTCGAAAATTTCGAAAATCCAGAAGATGACCAAATCAATCCAAATAACGGCATCGTATTTGGAATGAGGAAGGACCAATTAAATGACTTATGCATATCTACACAAGACGAGCTTGATGCCTATATGTTATCTTTGGAAGGCATTCCAGCAATTGAAATAGACGACGAGGTACTAGATGTTATTAATAAATTATTAATTAAACTAAAAACTTATGTAGAATATTATGAGGATAAATTTAATGTTTCAGTTCAAATATATCATGTAAAATAATTCGAGTAGTGTTTTGTTTATTCAGATACTAAGACCAGCAAGCGCAACTTTTACGCCTACCATGTCATTTACAGTAACAAACTTGAAATTTCCTACGGCTATGGCTTCAACCAACCGATATTTACCATCACTTCAACCGATGTTTAGCATCACTTCAAGGACACCACAAAAAATGTCACTTTTCAGATGGAAAACCTGAAAAAGACTTTGACGGAAAACGACATTTCCATACAATCCTTGCAGCTCCAACAAAGTGTCAACCCCATGACGCAGCCGCAAAACAAATTACTAGAAATATCTTTACACAGCGCAAATATAAATGCTCTGGATGCGCACAAATCGCTAACAGACGATGCGGACATTACTGCAGCAAGTGCGACTTTCGTAATAAAGTCAAATACATTATTACGTCTGACTACTTGCACAAAGCCATTAATTATGTTAAGAACGTTGCCATATCTGGTAACCAAGAAGCACATGTGGTATCCGGAAAAACCAAAAATTGTAAAAATGTGTCCGAAAGAAAACTTAAAGGAACATATATCTAATTTAAATATTATTAACGCTAAACATTATGACTATTTACTACAAACTGACGAACAACTTAGAGAACTTGAAATGCAATTAAAAAGAAGCAACGATAATGAATCGATAAAAAAAATTATATTTGGCCAAAACTACTTAAAATTAAAAGATGAAGATTTACTTTCAGAAAGGTTAGAATTATGCGAAGAAAAAGGTAGAATAGGAATTGTAATGTACTGGTTAAAAGTAATTGCTATTGAAAATTGTATAACTCTGTCTAATCTTATTAAAGATCTTAGTAAATTCATTTTTAACTTAAATACTAAAATGAGAGGATTAATTTTGTGTGGACCTTCTGACACTGGAAAATCATTGTTTGCTACTTTATTGTATAGTATATTTAAAGAACATGAAGTAGGTTATTTTGTCCACCATCTAAAAATGCCTCTTCTTTTAAGCTGCAATCATTGACAAATGCGTTTGCATATAGATGTGATGAGATGGTGTTTGAAGAATTATCTATCATTCAAGTATTGAAGCAATTATTAGAAGGATCTAAAACACTCCATTCAGATGTTAAGTATAAAGATCACTTGCAGATTGATCCCCACCCTGTTGTTATTACTATGAATTGTAGTTATAAAAGAGATATATTAAAGTGGCACCCAAGCGTTTGAGAATCGTTGTTTAATTTTATTTATGGGACAAACATTAAATACTATTTTTAATAATGAGGAAATTGATGTAATAGCAACCTGTGGTAATGAATTGTTATATATATATATATATATATATTAAATAAAGAAAAACCTATAATTGTAAATAATAACAAAGATGTATTAACTAAGTATGAAATATATTCTATTTAATATTGAACTCTTTTTACATTAGATTCATCGTTTTCTTGAATTTTTTGATTAAACATTGTCACGTATTTAGGTAAAAACATTTTTTGCTGCCCTTGTATATCAACTATTGTATTTGCTTCAGCGTCATTAGAAAAAGGATTCGCGATTGTAACTAATGAAAATAAAATATCTTTTCCGTAATTACTTTGCTCTTGATGTGGTTTATATTTAGTTTCAGGATAAACTATAGGTTCCTCAAATGACCATTCTTTACCATAACATTCTACTACATGTTCGTAACGAATTTTAAATTTCACAGTTGTAGGCATCACCTCTTTACTAAAATATGCTGGGTCAAAACACCTATATAATGGTTTTATGCTTTTATTTGCTTGAAATCGGGATATATTTGGTAAATAATTGTAATAAGTGTTAAACCAATCTACTCCTTGATTTCCTGAAAAAGCCATGTAAGAATTTTGATCTTAAAATAATTTAGAATCGTATTCATTATACAAATAAGGTAAACTATATTGGTCAAAGTGATTTTCATATTTATATGGCATCTTTTCAAAAGCGTTACCTGGACCAGTATAAAATGATTTGTTAGATCTTACAACAGCCAAAATGTCTCCACATTTACGGTTTGAAGGGTCAAACATTCTATCTAATACTAAAAATGTCTTATTTATATTACCAGGATGGTTTTTTTCAACTTCAATTTGTAAATGATTTATACCAAAACCAGGTACAGTGACCCAACCATCTGCATAATCTGCTCTTGTAGCACATGTTATATTCCATACTTCTTCTATAACGCCTTGTTTTTTTAAATCTTCATCTGATTGATTTGCTTGAGCAAATATACCATTTTTATAACTTTTACCTGCAGCACCAAAAAAGAAATGTTGATTTTCATTTGGATTAACTAACAAATGAGTTATATGTTTTCTCAGTCCTACATCGTTTATCCGTTGGCCACTAAATATTGTTTGTTCTGCGACGTTATTTTTTTCTATAAATCTAGGATCTCTAGTGCTAATTCTATTTAAACGCATAGAATCATCTAATAAATAACTGTTTTCAAATAATTCTATAGTAGGTAAAGTTAATGGTAATTTTCTTTTTGAATTTCTTTTTAAATCATCTATAATAGTTACATCTTTAGAATTTTGATATGGATATATACGATTTGTTATAGTAGAATTACCGTCTACATTAAAAACTCTCCTACCAACATTTGACATTTCTTAAGGAACAGCTTGAACACCTGTACCTTTTAACTGATTTTCTACTCTAACATCAAATATTTCCCATGATATTTTTTTGTCAACATAAGTTAACATATGTGACAAATGTTTATATTTATCAGGTCCAAGTAAAATTTGATTAAATTCAATTGGTAAATAATAAATATTATCAAGAGTAGAGTCTGATAAATCAATACTAACATAAAATGTATCTGATATAGTGTATTCTTCATAATAACCAGCGTTATGTTGAAAATTAATTCCTCCTTGAAAGTCTACGGCGGCTGGTGGTTCCACGTTGGGCGGTTGTTCCGCCATACCTCATATGATTACCACGGTTCCCCCAACCGTTTCTTCCTTTTGGATGTCTGAACTTTCTCCGTGAGTACCTCTGCGATTCTCTCTATTCTTTACCCATCCTCTAGGAGGTCTGGTAAAGAAATTTCATTAGCTTGATTTTCATAAAATGACTCTTTAACATTATTCATTTGTATTTCGCTAATAGGACTATAATGCAACATTTTAGTAATGTTTCACAGCGTCAACGTAACAGTTACATTGTAATGACCCACCCTAACATATTCATAACATATATATATATATATATATATATATATATATATATATATATATATATATATATATATATATATATATATATTGTATATATATATATGTATATATATATATATATACACATATATATATATGTATATACATATATACATATATATATATATATATATATATATATATATATATATATATATATATATATATATATATATATATATATATATATATATATGTATATATATATATATATATACACATATATATATATATGTATATACATATATACATATATATATATATATATATATATATATATATATATATATATATATATATATATATATATATATATATATATATATATATATATATATATATATATATATATATATATATTATTGTTGTTATTACTATTATTGGAAACAAGACGGCCCCTCTTTATCAACTATCTTGATATCTGCAATTAGTTTTGAATTTTGAAATTTATGTTGAAGTGATTTGATATAATCATATGATTTTATAATAATTAACAGTTTTAAGAAAAAAATAATATGATTTGGATTTGCATTAGCAGTAAATTATTATATTTTTAGATTAAACTTATGAAAACTCTTTGATACCGTGCGATAGAGCAAATAACAGAGAGATTTTGTCATTGACGTGTACTGAAAAAAAAAACTAATTAGAAACTTCGGAATCTTTAAATACAGAATGTGAAGGATTTATATTTGAATTTAACAGGTTATTTGGCTTAGCTAAAATAGATCCTAATTCTAAAAAAATTATTAACCGTTTAAAGCTAAGACTAAAAAGTGTAAATACCACAAAAAGTGATTTGGCAACTCTGTTTCATTGAAAACAGCATTATGCTCAAAAAGAGGATTTGTGCAAATTGGAACGGAACCGACTGCTGCTGCGAGACAAAGGAAAGGACTGGCACGTGTAGAGTAAAAATTAAAAACTAATTAGAAACTTCGGAATCTTTAAATACAGAATGTGAAGGATTTATATTTGAATTTAACAGGTTATTTGGCTTAGCTAGAATAGATCCTAATTCTAAAAAAATTATTAACCGTTTAAAGCTAAGACTAAAAAGTGTAAATACCACAATAAGTGATTTGGCAACTCTGTTTCATTGAAAACAGCATTATGCTCAAAAAGAAGATTTGTGCAAATTGGAACGGAACCGACTGCTGCTGCGAGACGAAGGAAAGGACTGGCACGTGTAGAGTACACCAGTGCCGATGGGTATACCAACTAAAGTTGAAGTTTTGAAACGGAAAAAGTTAAGCGACAATGAAAAATCGGTCGAGCTGTCGAACAAACTGGTGCTAATGCTCAAAGTAATTAACTAATTTACTTAATTTTTTTTTAAGTCTTAAAAGAGTTTTATATATTTTATATTTTATTTGAATATAGTATTTTTGCGAAAACATTTTAAAAAAATTTGAAATGGTATTTCACTGTAAAGCTAAACTTGTTTAATGATTTAATACTCATTTAATGATTCAACTGATAATGAAATAACACAAGATAGTTATATTACACATTTATACAAAATAATCACTCGGAATAATAACTTAAATTTCTAAATACATCTTTAAGTAGTGTTGGTTTTGATCACATTGGTAACCTATATGAAGTTGATCACATTGGTAACCTATATAATAACGCTTTTTTTTAAATCGCTATACTTATTGACAAGTATTTCTCATTTTTCAGATGTGTAGTTATTGTTTTTTATTGAACAACTTTAGGACATTCCTAATTCTTTTTTTTTATTGTTATAAATTGCTTAATTATTTTATTTTGTTTAATATTTAAAATTTTTTAATATTATTTAATATTTAAATATTGTTTAAAATTTGTAACTTTATAATATTTTTTATAATATATTTTAATATTTGTGCCTTTTAATTTTCATTTGAAGGCTATCATAGTACTTAAGTCGGAAGACCACAAAAAATTTACCTGCTACTTGCACGCAATTAGTTTGAGCCGCTCACAGCCTAATTAGTACCTTCTACAAATGCAGCCCCCTAAATAAAGTGGAAATGTTATACACAGATTTTATAAAAAGTATGAAATTTTAGATTATCGAAATGTATCTGAATGAATGTTTAACGAAAGACAAACAAATAAAATGTAAGTGTCAGAAAAAAGTAAAATGTTAAAGACATTATCGTCCGATCAGTCTTCTTTCTGTTATTAGCAAGGTCTTTGAATCTTTGATCAACAAATTCCTCACATCTCATCTTGAGTCAAATAAACTGCTGTCAGACAATCAATACGGTTTTCGATCCTCTCGCTCTACGGCCGACTTGCTAACTGCTGTAACTGAAAAATTTTACCGTGCATTAGATGGAGGCGGTGAGGCTAGGGCTATTGCTCTCGACATATCTAAAGCTTTCGACAAAGTTTAGCATGCTGGTCTTCTCCATAAGCTTGCTTCATATGGTGTTTCTGGGAAAGTTTTTGAGATTATCAAATCATTTCTTTCTAACTGGTTTATTAAAGTCATCCTTGAAGGCCAACACTCTTCTTTATTTCCAGTAACTTCTGGGGTTCCCCAAGGTTCCATCCTGGGCCCTGTTTTGTTTCTTATCTACATAAACGATCTTCCTGACAACCTTTCATCTAAAGTAGCTCTTTTTGCTGATGACTCAAGTTTATACTCCTGTCTTGACAAAAAGTTTTTTTTTTTTTCGATCGCCTAGAACAAGCAGCTGAACTTGAATCCGATCTCACTTCAGTAATAGATTGGGGTTCACAGTGGCTTGTGAATTTCAACTCTAAAAAAACCCGTTGCTTACTGCAAACAACTACCGTAATATGGTCAACATTCCTATATTAATGAATGGCAATCCTCTTACTGAGTCCTCCTCTTTACGTCTTCTTGGATTATCGCTTACTACTGACCTTTCATGGAAACCATATATACAATCGATTGCTAAATTAGCTTCTGCTAAGGTTGCTTCTCTTTATCGTGCTCGTCATTTCCTTACTTCTGATTCCATTCTCTACCTCTACAAATCTCTTATTCGTCCCTGTATGGAATATTGTTGTCATATTTGGGCTGCTTCTTCTAACGATTCACTTTCTCTTCTTGACAAGGTCAAAAAACGCATTGTAAATGTTGTTGGACCTGGACTATCTGCTAAGCTTGAACCTCTTTCCCATCGTTGTAAAGTTGCATCGCTTT